TTTTTCTTTTCTTTTCATGATGACAGTGGTGAGGCCCTGCCTCCCCTGACTGCAGGTCCCTGCATATTGATGATATCTAGATACTTTTGAAAGACACAGCTGAATCAAATGATCTTATTTTATTCAGAGTGTAGACTATTTAATAAGGTGACCAGAAATATTTGTTCTAAAACTACCCTAAAACAACACCTGAGTTAGGATACCAATACACACTAAAGCACTTTTTCCAGAAATAAAAAAAATCAATAGAAATTATCTAATACTATAATATCATAATCAGCAGCAATCTTATCTCTGCTATAATCAGCCTATCTGGTCTCAGGCCTTTGTATTGTACAACCTACCTACACAACCTTTTTTCAATATTTAGAGAGAAGGATAAGCTATTGATGAGTAGTGTCATAGAAATATTATAATATGATGTTCAAGAAGCTACTTGTTTAAGTAAATTACAAATAACATGCTAAAAGTTTCATCCATGCAGGAAAGAAATGCCTAAGCAATTGTGAAGCCCTGTTCCCTACATAACATTCTTCAAGCATCACCAACTACAGAAAATCTAGCACTACTTTCCCGCACCATCCAACTAGTTCAGATGTGAAAGCTGCCAAGCGAAGGATAACAAAAGTATCCTGGTACATTATTTGCAACAATATATGCAGAAGAACAAAACAGCTGGTTGATGACCATAAACTTCAACAGACCACAATCAGACATTCATCCTAATCTTCTGACTATCAAAGAAGTGGTCTGAAAGGGACCTTGGAGGTCTTCTAGCCAACACACCACCCAAATGGTTGTCCAATCTTTCCTTGAAAACCTCCAGCAATGTAGATGGGATAAATCTACTCACTTTGTTCTTTGGGATAAATGTCTATGATACATCCTTAATTTCTTTCTCCAAGTTCTAGGCAGCCAAAGATTTCTCACTGGTTGATATGGAACTTAGCAAACCCATCAGTTTCCAGGGCGTGGGCTAACAGAAAAGCTGGCAGGAGTGGAAAATAGATTCATCCTTATTTAACACAACCCATTTCTTTTTGCCCTTATTCCTTTTATCCATAGAAATGGCTGTTAACACTGGTTACACCCAATTTCTCTCACATGGCAGGGCTAACACGATACTCCTCAAAACTACTTGCATCCAATGACAGTAGTGAGAAATTGAAAGTGGGGTTTTTTTTGCAGATACACCAAGCATCAAGACAGCAGTATGGAAATCCTCAAGGTCTGTTTCTTCAAGTGTTAAAGCAGAGTATAAAACTGTGTAGAATATAAACACTCAGCTGCCACTAACAAGCGAGGACTGAAAATGAAAAGTCAGAATTCTACTGCACAAAGGTAGAACAGATGGTACTTCGTTTGAACCAGGAGGAATCCTAACTGCTCAAAGGCGTCAAATGTTCTTGAGTTACAGTAATAATTTAGTCAAGCTGTGCCTGACAAGAAGAGCCTGACACTTTGAACCAAAAGAATCACTCATGTGAGAGGGATTAAAATGCGAAGTAGAAAACAGCCATTAATCTCACAAAATATGTAATAAACATATCAAGAAAGAAATATTAAATATTCACAGTACTCACGCTGATGTCAGTCACAGCCCAATGTCTCCAGAAGCGATACATTGGATTAGATCTGCTAGGAGCATCTGGGTCAACCATGATGAGAACATATTTCTTATTCTGTAAAATAATATACAAAAATCAGTCTTAAGAATTTTGCTATTTAGCAAGTTAAAAAGGGAACGTTCTAAACAAAACACCTATTATCCATCTAGTCATCTATGACAACAGACTTTCAGTTCCCTTCTTATGCAGCGGTAGCAATTTACAAAAAGACAATTCTCACTGAACCAAAGAAATACATATTTCTTGCAGTTGATACATAGAGTATCTAAATTCAAACTTCAAGCACGGATAAAAAGAAAAAAGAAAATTAGTATTTGGAACTAACAGAAGATTTTGGTCATTCTGATTTGATGGTCTGTGCTTTGAATTGTAATGAGAAGTGAACTTGCTTCAACATTGGTGACATTTTGATCCATAACACTGGTCCCAGTAGAAACCAGAATTAATTCTTGATGTCAATCATATTCAGTGTGGGTCCCATGAAACATGCCCTGTTAGTGACATAAAAGTATAGGGTGGAATGCAGAGTAGATGTTCAATTTGAAGGTCCATCATGATAATAATGAATCATGAATAATCATGATCATCACAATGCAACAGGCAACCAGTAAGGCTTTTTTCAACTTGAAAGTTGCATGAGACCATCATGAGACCCAACTTATGATCAGTATTGCTTCTGAATTGATTTCTGATAAGGAGGAGGAGGTGATACCTATTCGACAGTGGTGGGTTGCAGGTGGTATGCCCCAGTACGGGCGTACCAGAACCTGCCCGGAGCACCCAGTACTGTTCCAGTACAGTGCTCCGGAGGGCCCACCCGCCCGCCCTCGCTCCTTACCTAACNCCTTCCTTCCTTCCTTCCTTCCTTCCTTCCTTCCCTCCCTCCCTCCCTCCCTCCCCCCTTCCTTCCTCCCTCTATCCCTCCCTCTCCCTCTGAGAGAGGAATAGCAACTTAGTGGAAAACTTTCTATGGTTTTGCTCTTCATACTGGTAGCATTTGCGTCTCCTTTCACCCTCATCAGGCAGTCCCTATGCCCCTCTCCAACAGATTCAGGTCCTAGCTTCCCTGGTTCATCTTCCTTTTATTACACTTTCCTTAATTTCTGGAGTTCCTTTTCTTAAGAAGGTGTAGAAAGCATGTTGCTGGGGAAGAGCTCTGCAAAGACTCCTAGCCAAATGGATGGTTCACCGACAAATGCGCGCACGACAAAAGCACGCCGACAAAAGCGCGCCTTCAACAAACAACGCGAAAACAACGTAATAACCCTAACCCTAACCCTGAACCTAACCCTAACCCTTACCTTAACCCTAATCGCGCTTTTGTCAGCGCGCTGTTGTGGGCGCGATCTCGACGTCATGGTTTTCTCACAGCGGTTTTGTTAGCGTGCTTTTGTCGTTCGCACATTTGTCAGGTCACGCAAATGGACATAAAGTTAATAACAATCCATGCCTTATTCATCTAAATGGGGCTTTTCTAAAGATAGTTGTATTTAGCTCAGTGCTTACAGTGTAAATTACATGTTCATTTAACACTAAGTTAAGCATTTTAAGTTAGCATTAGTTTATAAATCTTTAACCGAAAGAATGATAAGTAGGTATGTAAGAAACAGAGAAAGTTATTTTATTTTATTTCGTTCAGGAAACGAAAAATAAATCTAAAACGCAAAGCTTTTACAATGTATTGTATTTGAATCCGTGTTTTCGGCAGCTTTTGCAAATCCTACATTCCCAACAAGATTCAGCACAACAGATTTCTCAGCAACTTGGGTGGCAGGAGACACTGACTCGACTGTTCCTGAAAGAGCACGCCGATGTCAGGAACGGTGTGAGGGACACCAAAAGTGATTCTGCTAAAGGAGATGACAGGCGTGCTTCTGCCAAAGACCACCAGCAATGTCGTACTTCCAAGGCCGATGGGGAAGATGGCGCCAGTTTTGCGTCTGTCAATGGTTCTTGTGATCAATGGAGCTTAGAAGACGGCAGATCTGTGACAGTGATGGAGGATACATCCGTGGGGGAGATGTCCTTTCGGCCTGAGGACCAGGAGGACTTGTGGCAGAAGAATCCACATTTAAGCTTAGACCTCTCAAGTGTTGACTCGTATGAACTGGGGGACAGCGGGAGCCAGATGGCAGACAGTCTGCCCAGCACCCCTTCTCCCATTGAGAATACAAAGACATTTTCTGGACAGCTTGACAAGGAACCAGAGGACCTGGTATTCACAGCTGATCTTTCCTTATTCGAAATTCATGAGGTACGTGGCTGAAAGATACCCTTGCGAGGTTGTTCTGAGTTTTTTAAAAAATAAGTAAGAATTCAGTGAGACATCCCCAGTGTACGTAAATGCACACTTGATGCTCCTGCTTCTCTCCCAAATCTGGCTGTTTATCTCCATCTGGACTGCTTGAGAGTATAAGCAGATAAGTTGTTAGCCAGTTTCCAGATGTGCATCTCTTGAAAGAGCCATAAATCCTCTTTTCCGATCATTCAGAAATGCTTTGATTAGAGCATTATGGTTTTTAATTTTAATTATATTTGATTGATAATTGCCATCTAAGTTTACTTTGTATAAGGTGGGTGACATATACATTTTTCAACAAATCAATATGAATGAAGGAATGAATGAGTGAATGAATCAATGAAAGAAATGAATGAATGAATGAATGAATGAATGAAAGAATGAATGAATGAATGAATGGACGAACGAATGAGATGCATCTTTCTTAGAACTGTCCATGTAAAATTGCTCTGGGTTATTTATCTTCTTATTTTTAGTTTCTTGCACTTTTGTACCTATTTTTAGGCTGCCTCTTTCAATAAGTTGCTTTTTCTTTCTCTTAAAAAAAACAGTGTAAGATATGATTGTATAGTTTTCTGGGTTCATCAATCAAAAAAGATGACTATTTTCATTTGAGAATCTGTAATACCAGCAGTTTTTAATACAAGCTGTGAAACTTTCTTACAAAGTGGAATTGATCTGCTCTTTCTAAATAAAATTAGTACCGTAACGCGCTCTACATGGGGCTGCCCTTGAAGAGTGTTCGAAGACTTCAGTTAGTCCAGAATGCA